TATATAAGTAAATAAATGTGTAAATAAAAAATTTAATAAAATAATATATACACACATACATGTATATATTTATACATACATATAAATAGCTCAGAAGCTTAAAATAAATAAAAATAAAATATAAATATTTGATGAAAATGTGTAAATAAAATTAATCAAATGACACACACAAACATATATATATATATATATATATAGCTCAGAAGTTTATCAAAATAAAATATAAATATTAGATGAAAAAAAAATTTACTTAAAAATAAATTTTAAAAAAACTTTGTTGAAGTACTAAACTTACTAAAACTGAAATAAAAATAAAGCTAAATAGACATTTTTCAAATGAATTTAAAATTAAAGCACATTCAAATATAAAAAAAACTATTTTTTTCTTTTGGTGAGTGTAAAGGGCAAAATTAGTTTGTTTGATCATTTGTCTTGTTCTTTAGCGCTAACATTTCTGAAATCAATAAAGATTGTGTTGAAAAGGAGGCATACATAAAATGTACTGATAAATAAAAACCAAATACACAAATAACTTTTGACAGATGAGACATATGTTAATGTAGAAACCTGTTCGACATTCGTTTCACTTCAAACACACTGAAATATGTTTTCTGTTCATAAATCATTGACTCTCTGAAAATCTCCTAAATGTTTTGGACAATGATGACAATCATTATTGAAAATCCTGAACACACACACACACACACTGCTGTGAGGCTTCATATGAAAGACAAACATCAAACACATAAAAAGCCCTTTCTTGTATCTGAGGCTTGTTCACACACACACACTCACACACACACACTCACACACTCACACACTCTCACACACACACACACACACACACACACACACACACACATACACATGAAGCAGGAGAGATGATCTTCTGATTAAAATAGTCAAACCACCGATACTCACACACCTGAGACACACCTGAGTTTAATTAAATAGTAATGAGCCATATCTGCATATCACAGAGATATCAGGCTCTCAGCAGAAAACAAGTTAATTTCTACCTCAGTAAAGCTGAGCATGTTCATTCTGTTAAAGTTAATACAGCAATGTCAAATAGCCATAACATAAACAAACATATGCATGGCAGAAACACTCACAAACACATTTAATATCATTTGATATTACTCAATATACACACTCACACAGACACACACACACTGACACACGCACTCTCACACGCACTGACACTCACTGACACTCTCACACACACACACACACACACGCTCTCACACTCACACGCACACACAGACACGCACACGCACTCGCACACGCACTGACACTCACTGACACTCTCACACACACACTGACACACACACACACTCACAGACACGCACACACTGACACACACACTCACAGACACGCACACTCACTCACAGACACGCACACACTGACACACACACACACTCACAGACACGCACACACTGACACGCACACACTGACACGCACACGCACTCGCACTGACACTCTCACTAGGCACGTTTCCATTACAGATTTGCGCAAAACTTTGGCGAAATTTTCTGAATGTCGATAAAAAAGTATTGCGAAATGACGGCGTTTCCATTAACCAATGTTATGAGACTTAAACGTAACCTTTTGCCTCTCGCGATAAGTCATGGCAATGTATTTTGGTGGGATTTTGATGGATTTTGGCTATATTTATTCAGAGGCTTATGCGTGTATCTTTACAGAAGCAGCAAAGAGAGCCGCTTCAGAAACGTGCGTGGCGCGGCTGGAATAAACCATAGACTGTATACAAACATAAACACAAGCATTGCGTGGCCGTAATCAGCTTCAGTGACCGTATCAGAGCCACACTGCACCGCAGACGTGTGCAGTGTTTACTGACACTCGCACTCTCACACGCACCGACACTCTCACACTGACACACGCACTCACTCACACTCGCACTCTCACTCTCACTCTCACACTCACACTCACACTCACACGCACTGACACAAAAACATGCACTCTCACACACACTGACACTCTCACACTGACACACGCACTCTCACTCTGACACACGCACTCACACTGACACACGTACTCACTCTCACACGCACTCTCACTCTCACACGCACTGACACTCGCACTCACTCTGACACTGACACACGCACTCACTCTCACACGCACTGACACACACACCGACACACGCACTCACACCGACACACGCACTCTCACTCGCACTGACACACGCACTCACTGACACACGCACTCTCACTCTCACACGCACTGACACACGCACCGACACACGCACTCACACCGACACACGCACTACTCACTCACACACGCACTCTCACTCGCACTGACACACACACCGACACACGCACTCTCACACGAACTGACACTCGCACTCACTCTCACACTGACACACGCACTCTCGCATTTTAAAATTCAATATTTATAATAAAATTTATATTAAAATTTCAATATTATAATTTAATTATATTTATAGTGTAATTGCAATATTATATTATAATTAACATATTATATTCTATTATATATAAATATTCATTATAATACAATACAATACAATATATAATATAATATAATATAATATAATGGACTTAAAGTTCTAAAATTTATAGAATAAGTGCAATATTATAATATTATAATTAGCATATTATATAAATACTCATAATATAATATATCACATCACACTGAATCATTTAAGGGGTCATATGATGCGATTTCAAGTGTTCCTTTCTCTTTGGAGTGTTACAAGCTGATTGTGCATAGATAAGATCCCTGAAGTTGCAAAGACTAAAGTCTCAAAACCAAAGAGATATTCTTTATCAAAGTTAAGACTCTGCCACGCCCCCTGACCCTTATGACTGGTTTTGTGCTCCAGGGTCACATTTGCATTGGTGCATCATTTTCATGACACATTAATTAGTGTGTTGAGCTTTTTTAAATTACTGTAAATGAGAATTAGAGGGAAATGTTTTAAAATGTCATGAAAATAATGCAAAAATTAAAATAAATGCATTATCAATAAACCTTGATAATGCATTGATAATGCAAATAATGCTTCATTTTATATAATTTCTTATTTCTTTTGATTCTGGGTGACATTTCTTGGCAGGTTTATTTTATACATGGCGTATACATATTTCACCAATAAATAAAAAAAAGTAATAATAAAATAAACACAATTTTACTGATGTATTACAAGAATGACCTTGGATGGAAATGTGTTTTGTCACAAAAACTGTGCAAAACAATGCAATGCAAATAAATCTAAATCTAAGTTATATCTAAATTAGCAATGGTTATCATTTATTATGTTATACTATTATATATAATATTTTTATTACTACTACTATTTTCATATAATTTGCATTATGATTCATTCAAATCGAATCTAAAAATATGCATGGTGTATAAATAATTTGTTAATAAATTAATTAATTAATTAATAATTTCATTGATCACTGATGCATTACATTCTTTTTTATTTCTTTTTTTATTTTATTTTTATTTATTGTTGCATCATGGCAGACAATTGGAGTGTTTTATTATCACAAAAATTATGCAAAACAATGCAAATAATTCTAAATAATCAACGATCCTAAATACTGGCTTCACTTTCTTTATGCATCATATAATTTCCTATTTCTTTTGATTTTGATGTGAGATTTCTTGACAGTTTTGGTGAGATTTATGACACTTCAGAACAAAAGAAAAGCAAAAATAAGAAACAGTATTTTACATAAAAAGAAGAATTAGCTATTTTATGAATATTTGCACTGGTGCATTATTTTCATGACACGTTTTTTTGTTTATTTGTATTATTACTAATATCATTTCATATAATGTGCATTATGATTCATTTAAATCAGCATAAATTAATAAATCACATACGACATGTTATATGCATGCTGTATAAATATTTGTATGTTGATTTTGATTCACAAGCATGCAATTCGATTCAATTTCAATGTCAATTCAGTTCGATTTGATCTCGATTCATTTGGATATTTAAGCAAGCAAGAGCAGTATGTGTCAACTAATGCTGTAAACTACAGTAAACCTGTCAGTTGATACATTACTATATTAAAGTGATTTGTAAACAAACATTTAATTTGCAGTTTTTTTAATAAATATTACATTTAAAATACTTAAAGATATGATTAATGATATAATTATGTTTCTACTTCAGTTTGTTGTTGAAATATAAACATTTAAACAGTGGGTGTCATAACTTGTTTTCATTATGAATTTATTCAAACATTAAATATTGACAAACAGGTTAAATAAAAATATCATGAATATGTAACATAGAACATATATTTATCATAATTATGATAACTATCGAGTGTCTTTATTGATCTCAAGCTGATTTACTGACGTTTTTCTGTGGATTACATGATTCATGATTGATTTCAGCGAGTTGTTCTGATTCTTCTGATGTTCATTCGTGTTTATTTGCTGCTATAACTAGTAGTAAAGAGGATCTGACACCACACATTAAAGAGCTACAAAAACACATTTATTGTTTAAATGTCATGATAAAACTGATAGAATTTGAAAGCTGGGACTTTGTTTCATTGCAAAAGTAACAAATATATGCACTTTAGTATAATTGTTTGTATTTTAACAACTAAATGGAGTAATAACATCGTTATATCATTTTAAATGACAAAAGAAGAGAAATAAAGAGCTAAAGAAGGGAGAAACATGTCAGAAAAGCAGGTGTCTGTAAAGATGAGATGCAAATGGACTCTGAATCTTATTAGGACAGGCTCAAACCATCGGACAAGCAGACCATCCG